TGCTGAACCAAATGGAGAAAGGTAAAAGAAGTAAAAAGACAATCAGCAGCAGAGAAGCTGCTTGCTGAGCAAAGTTAGTCACTGTGAAATAGGGTGGAAGACCCAGCTCCAGTTCAGTGCATCCCATTCCCAGTCTCAGAATGGAGGTGCTGTGGAGCTGTGTATGTGCAGTCACTGCTCACAGCTCTGCAGCGGTGCTGAGCCCCAGCTCCAGCACCCACACTCGCTGCTCCCACGCTGCCTCCTCAGGCAGTGGGGCCAGAACACACACGTACAGGGTCCGACTGAACAGTTACACCACCTACAGAATATCACTGGCCCCTGTTTCTCTGTCCATCGTGCTGCTGCTTGGTGTTCGGGGGTTTTTGTTTTGAAGTAGTGTTCTGTTCATGACATTATAAACCTGGGCTTTTAATTCTTCCATGATATAATAGAACAGAATCTAAAAGCCTACTTTTAACGAGTCATTTTCCAATTCCCCTGTGAATTCCATACTGCTTTGGTTCCAATATCCCACCTGAATGTAGGACCACAGTCCCCTTGGAGGGGTGCTACCCTTCTTACACTAACATCTCCAAACACAAAAGGGAGGATGGAGAGACACGAAACCAATACAGCCTTGCTTTCCATACAGCTTACAGCATCCCTATGCTCAAGCCACAAAGGAGACAAACACTTTTCTTCATACAAGACTAGACCTCTAATGCTCTAAGGAACCAAAAGACACAAGATGTCTACACTCCACTTTACTTCTTTTTCTCTAACTGATGCTGGTAGGCTGCAGCATTAGGATGAAGGGTGCTCCTCAGGCAAAAATGAATAGTTATTGTCTGAAACACCAGAGGTCACTCTGTACTGATCCCAGGGAGACTACTCACAAGAGCAAGGGAAGGCAGAGGGTGGGTCACAGTCCAGTGATACACCACTGCATATCAAGCACAGGAAATTGTACAGTTCCATTAAAAAACGCCTGTTAAAACCAGAACTGAACTCCAGGGAGCCCTTATGATGACCCTCTAAGACAGAAACAACTTTCAGTTCAGCTTAAAAACAACTATTCCTCATTCCTCTTGTGTGTTTGCATCTCTTCTCCTACCAAAACAGCCAGGATGGATGCAGACCCCTCATCCCAAAACACTGCAACTTCCCTTTTGAATATTAATAGTTGGGACTGGGCCTTCACAACAGTGAGACACGACCATGCACGTGACCAGTCAAAGCTGTGCAGATCTGGTTTGGAGCCATATGAAAGCAGTTGATTTTCCTCCTGTGTTTTTAAATTCTCTGCAGTGTTGTATGCAGGTATGTATCCAAAACCCTCCCTGGTGATAGGGATCCAGAACAGCAACTAAAAGGCACTGAAAGCAGCCTGGCAGTGAAGGTTTGCCGTGCCTGTCTGAAGGGTGTCCAAATGCCACAGAAATCAACAGCCGAGTTTCCATTACAGCAACAGACACAGCTTAGACCCAGACAAACCCTGAGCAACCATCACGTCCATCTACCTCACTGATCACTCCTGATTTATCAGCCCCAAGCAGGCCACGGCATGGTTCACAATGCACAGCGTGTACTTGTGTGCCTGTTTGAGCACGGCTTGTACCTCTGCAGGACCTAGCAACCCCCACGGAGTCAGACCACGATGCACAATACATGAAAGAAAGAAAAGACCACTTCCATCCCCCCGGTTTACATTCCAACTGGAAGGATATTCACAGAACAGCATCCTACCTCAGGCCCTGCTTAAAACTACTACGATTAAGAGGATCTACATCAGCAAGTTGCCATCACCTTTGATTTCTGATCTTGCTTGTACATGGTCTGATTCCACTTATTTACTTTAACCTAGGAACTGTCTGAGGCACAACCTGTGTCTGTCTCTCCCAATCCCAGTGTGCAGAGCTGTGTAAGAATTCTTGCATTCCACATGATTTCCTCATAAACAAGCAGTTTGAAAGTTTGGTCCAACAGAGACAGATCCAAAACCTTCTCCTAATGCAACCTGATCCACGGCATCCTGCTACTGACTGCTGGAGGATGAACACTGTGGAACACGGGACTTAATCATTCCAAATTCCCACGTCCTTTCTGGTGATTGAAAATGCTGTTTTCATAGCAAAAGGTTCAGGCCAGTTGTTACACGCTTCTTTTTTCTAAAGCCATGAAGTATATCTGGTTCCTGGCATGTCAGAGCTGTGGGAAGACCATAGCTGATAGCAGAAAATAAATCATCTGGGTCACAAGAAAGTTAAGGGGTGAAGGAAACTGCTTACAAGGGGTTTTCTCCCATGTTAATAGCCAGGCAAAGGAAAACCACACAGTGTTAGTAAAGTGAACACCTGACTCAGCCGTTCATACCCTCCGAGTCATAAAGTCTGGAGTACCGAGGACAGAGCGTGGAGGCGGGGAAAATGCAGGGTTTATGGAATCGTAAGAGAGGAATTTTTCGGCTGAATTAACAGTCATGTGGTAGATGTGCTCAAAGTTGCTCGGAGAGGAGATCAGACGGGAGTGATGATGAGGGAATTGATAAGGGGAACGCTGCTATCAAAGACAACAGAGAGAGAAAGCAATGAAGGATGGTTGTACAGGTTAACATCGGCAACAGCAGTCCACAAGAGCAGTCAAACACTGAAGGCCAGACAGACAGCAGCCCTGCTTGCCCGTCAGCACACAGGTTCTTACATTGTCACCCCCAGTCCTCTGAGCACCTTCCTTACATGGTGTCACAGGGGCCTGCCGCCCTTGCTGTGGCTAAAACATTAAAAACAAATAAAACTTTTAACTCATTGGGAATAGATTCTAATATTTATTATTATTCAGTATTTCAAAGAGCACCACAGTTGTAAAAGGTGCTTTACAGACAGTTGAGAAGCATCAGTTCCCTGCCTTGAGGAGCTTACAATCTAAAATAGACGTAACACAAACAAAGGAAGGTGAACACAGGTGAGATGGTGTGGGGAGAAGAAAAGATGAGAATACACAACAGTTAAAGATTGTTAAGAGATTTCCTTCTGTTATTCATGCATTAAAAGTAAGTATCACCCGTACAACACACACAGAATATTTCTAAGGGGAGGGAACAGTCTTTCAACAGGATAGGGACACAGGTTGTGTGGGAATGTGCAGTGGGTAGTGTCAGACAACTGGGACAGTTTACTTGGCTGTAGATAGACAACACAAGGCCTATGTCCTTCTGCAGGCTCACTTAATCCTCACAGTGCTTTAGTGACAAAGGGACTTTGCACTGTCACCTCTGTGCTGCAAAAGACTAGGCCCTTAGCAGATAAGGTGCAGAAGTACTGGGAAATTCAAATGTTTTTGGTAGGTCAGCTGAGCAATGTGCTCCCAAAGTGTGACATAAAGAAAGAGAGGGAAGAAATAATCCTTCAAATTAAACACAAACAACTTCTAATCCATGTCTACAGAATGGGCTGACACAAGTGCTCTTGTAATTTAAGGTCATCTAAATCCAGATATA